ATTACAAAGATTATGGCACACTTGTACAAATTTCATAAACCACTGAAAGTGAAACATTTTTATACAGAAAATAGAATGATGCGGAACAATTGGAAAAGAAGTTGCAACCAATTCAGACACTTTACAGTTGATTTCAACGAAAGAATAAATACATCAAAATTTAATCAAGACAAATGTTTCACTTTTTATGGCCTAGGATTCTCCAAATGACTACGATCAGAACCGTTAAGGCTTGAAATATATTACATAAAAGTCTTCCCTTAAACCTACTCGTTTTCTTTGTTACATTCGCAAAAAATAGAAAGCGAAAGAAAGAAACGAAATACAGTTCGTCGTTTACAAGCTCGGCGTCTGATAGAGTCCATTAATGCCATTACCGTTTGTCGCTCCACCATTGCCATTCCCGTTACCATTAGGGGCACCATAGTAATATCCATTACCGTTCCCATTACCATTACCGTTTCCGTTTGATAACACCATTCCATTGCCATTTCCGTTACCATTCCGTTGCCGTTGGTGTATCCATTTCCCATTGTTGCCATTGCAACACCATTCCATTGCCATTGGTAATACCATTACCGTTGGTGTATCCGTTACCGTTGGTGTATCCATTTCCGTTACCATTACCGTTGCCGTTGGTGTATCCATTTCCGTTACCATTACCGTTATCCATTTCCGTTACCATTACCGTTGCCGTTGGTGTATCCATTTCCGTTACCGTTGCCGTTGGTATATCCATTTCCGTTACCGTTGCCGTTGCCATTTCCGTTACCATTCCCGTTGCCGTTGGTGTATCCATTTCCGTTACCATTCCCGTTGCCGTTGGTGTATCCATTTCCGTTACCATTGCCGTTGGTGTATCCATTTCCCATTTCCGTTACCATTCCATTTCCGTTACCATTACCGTTGGTATATCCATTTCCGTTACCATTACCGTTGGTGTATCCATTTCCGTTACCATTACCGTTGCCGTTGGTGTATCCATTTCCGTTACCATTACCGTTGCCGTTGCCATTTCCGTTGCCGTTGGTGTATCCATTTCCGTTTACCGTTGCCGTTGGTGTATTCCATTTCCATTGCCGTTGGTATATCCATTTCCGTTACCATTACCGTTGCCGTTGGTTACCGCCATTTCCGTTACCATTACCGTTGCCGTATCCATTTCCGTTATCATTATTGCCGTTGGTATGTTACCATTACCGTTTGCCGTTGTATCCATTTCCGTTACCATTACCGTTGCCGTTGGTATATCCATTTCCGTTACCATTACCGTTGCCGTTGTATATCCATTTCCGTTACCATTAGTGTATCCATTTCCGTTACCATTACCGTTGCCGTTGGTATATCCATTTCCGTTACCATTGCCATTACTGTAACCATTTCCATTGATATTCCAATCTCAGCATTCAATCCGTAGAACTGTTCAGCCGTGGAACAGTCAAAGTTGTACCACCAATCGCACACGAAGTATTGCTGATTAAACACTGTGCCGTTGGGACAAAGGAACGAGTCGATCCTGCCTCCTGCCTGACAGATGTGGAACACCTGAAATACATCAATTTTGACTTAAATTTGTTTCATGGATAGAGGCAGGTAGATTAATGGAAAACAATGAGGTCCATTGACCTCAAAGCACAAACATAAAATGTATGGA